ATATATATATATATATGTATATATATTAGTACAGTGTTTTTCAATCCTGGTCCTCAAGGCACCCTGCCCAGCATGTTTTAGATGTTTCCCAGCTTTCACACACCTGTTAATTGATTAGCAGATTATCAGGCTTTGCTGAATTGCAATCATCTGATTCAGGTGTGCTGAACCTAAGAAACATCCAAACCATGCAGAGCAGGGTGCCTTGAGGAACAGGCTTGATAGTCCATCACGAACCACACTCCATACCAGTAAGGGGCGGTAATGCTACTAAATATTTGTTGCCAACCGCCAATAAATCGAAGAAAAAGAAGAAGCTCCGCGCACTGCAGCCTTTTGCACCTCCGGAGCATCAGAATAGAGCAGACCCACGAATACTGCGCGGGTCACGTGATCAGGAAAAACAAACGCGCGGCGGTTAACCTATCTCTGAATGGTTGAAGAAGTTACGATGTCGGCTCCGGTTTTGGAGTCTGAGTTCAAATAATGCAAAGTGGTTCTGTCCGAAAGCTGAACTCAGTGAAGCTGCAAGCCTTGCGATGTGAGAGTGAACCCGGACAGCCGCGCAGAAACCTTCCCTACAGGGTGGGATACACCTGGAACAAGGGAGGGAGACTCAACGAGCTGAGGATAAGGTGATCAAACTGTTTATTTTTTATTTATTTTTATTTTTTTACTTTCTAATAATAGAAGCACATTATATAAAATCTGAATCTTTAATCAGACACCTGGCAAGAAAATTCCTGAAGATATGGATGCATAAAACATTTGGCCAAATCCTCCCCGAGCAAGCACGGTGACTATGAACCCTTTCTTGGAGCTACATGTGATCAAATCTGAATAATAAGATGAGGATATGATTATTTTGTATTATTTTCTTTAGTCTGATTATTACTCTTAAAGTCAATGAGAAGGGATGTGGTGTGTTATAGGTGCCACTACAGTAGAAGGGCCCTGAGAAGAACCTTTGATAGGTGGAAGGATGACTGGTGGACATCCAGGAGAGAATGGAGTCTGGCAATGAGAGCAGAGTGCCACTACAGGTCAGCTTCAGGATATAATGACAGGACGTTTCATCTCACTTTTGCTTTATATGAACATACGATATCTGATCCAGCTTATTTGTCAATATCCAATCCAGGTATCAGATCGGTGCATCTACTGTAAACTGATGTGGTCTAGTGTCATTATTAGTTACAGTTTCCTTTTAGTCCAGGTGGGTGAGAATTGAGGAGAAAGTAGATCATGTTTCATAATCGATCGCAGTTTGTGGTGTGAGAAGTCTGTGTAATTAACTGGTTATTAACAAAGGACGATGAAACAGGAATTTATAAGGCATAGGGGGTAATGATGGTGGTGGCTTTGAGCCTCAAAGCCACCACCATCATTACCCCTCAAAGTTTGAGGCATAACCTGTCAACATGTTTGAGATCCTTTACAGTCTAGTTCGTTTGTCCTGCTAGTGATGATTTTTTTTTTGTCTTTAGGTATCACCTGCTTAATTTGACTTTTTGTGGCTGGAGGGATTTGACACCTTTTCAGAGGCAGAAGAAAACCAAATGGCAGCACACCCAATCATTTGGTATGTTTTAATATAAACAATGAGCACATGTATTTTCTAAGATGTGTTTTTAAGAGCTCTGCCTTGAGCTGACAGGCAACTGATGTGCCTGGTCAGGAAGTGTTGGAGGGAATAGAGAAAAGCTCTGAACCCCAAAAAGAATAAAGCGGCTCGTTTGCGAGCTGCTGACCTTTTGGCTTCTCAGAGCAGTGGATGCAGAACGCTACTGCGCTTGAAGGCCTTTATCCTGACCTGTTCAATGAAAATTAAAACTAAACACATAGTACATTACAGCTCTTCACATCTGTTAAACATTTTTAAGTTAAAAAAAAAAACACAGCCTCAAACTTTGTGTCAGTGATTCTTATGAGGTAATAATGAATGAGTATAAAGTTGAAGGATAATAATACATGGTTTCCTTTTTTTTCCATAGTATAAATTTTTTTTCTAATATAGTTTACACTGGCAACTAAATAAAACGTGTTTAAAACTTGCCAAAAAAATCACTAAATCAGGACTAGTGATTTCGTCCGTGTGTATAACTTTTAACATCAGTATAAATCGACCATGAAGGGCTAAGAGGTTGTTTAGGGGAGGTTAGTGAAGTATCAGTATCATAAAGACCAAAGGAAATTATAAGCAGCTCAGAGAGAATGTGATTTAGAGTAGTTTAAAGCAGGATTAGTTTGGGGGGGAAAAAACCCAACAAAAAATGAAAAAGAGTGCTCCCATCCATGAAAAGGGTTAGGGTGGCACGTGCAAAACCTGAGTAGCAAATCTGTCTGAACGACAAGACTAATAGACGTCCCGTTTCGAGATTGGCAAAAGAAACGAAAGGCGAGGTGGAATGAGGTGCTGTAGACGGAATAATCCAAGATAGAAGTTTTTTGCCAACCTGCAACGCTGTAGGTGTTTCCACAGCTGGAACTTGTCTCTGTCCTGCCATTCCACTACAAGAACTACAGTAAATGCA